AACGTCTCTCTTTTCCACTTCTGAGTAATTTAATAGGTCGATTTTTCCAACAAGATATCTGTCAACTCCACAAAGGCAGGGACCGTATTTCATCTGAACTTTTTATCTCTCTCAGGACCTAGCACACTATCCTGGATTTAACATTTTCTTAATCAATGCTGAATGTTCACCATCTACCACCTGATACCCATAACAGGGAGTTCCCACTTGGAAGCACCTTTGCTAAAAATTTGCACAGTCTTTATATGCCAGTGTTCATTCCAACCAGCCCTTAAGACTTCCCTGGGAAGCCCCAGTGGAAATAAATCCTAAGGGGCAAGAGATGAAACAAGTAACAAGTTTCTTCACATAAATCTAAACAAGTCAAAGATGTTGCAGTTTAAAAAAAAAACATTCAAGAACTCTTGACTGCTAGGAGGGCACACTCAAATGGCACAAGAAACAGAGGCCCTGGACTCTTACTTCACTGCACTTCCTGAGTCTCAGTTTCTTCATCTATAAAATGGGGATAGCAATAGCCCCTATCTTCCTCACAGGGTTGAGGTGCAAAGGAGGTGAAGGATGCATATGAGCTGTTTGCAAACTTTAAAGCACTATACAAACATGAACTATCATTATTATTCAGTTAACCACTCAACGAACATGTCTTGAACCTGTTGTGTGCCAGGTGCTGGGGAATCCGACAGGCTCTGTCCTCTAGGAGGTCCCTGCTATCCAGGGAAACAACACACACGTACTAAGCACAGACAAAGGAAATACAAGGTAGTTTGGGAGGGGAGAGGCCCTAGCACTCCAGGTCACCAAGAAAGGTACCTGGGCCTCCGTTTGAAGTGGCCCAGATATTCTCGAGATGTGGTTCCAATGACCTGCTATGGCCAATTAGATGATTGTGCTGCCATCTACATGCACAGTACATACTCAGGACATTGCTGGACCGTGGTAAGAAAAGCCATCCTGCTTCAGACCCTTCAGCCAAGGCTGGCTGACTGTCACTTACTCTCTTTTGGCCTCAGTTTCTTTTTTTATAAGTAGGGATAATACCAGGGTTTCCCAGGGAGGATGCTAAGTGCCAGGCAGACATAAACTCTCTCCAGAACGCTTGCTATTGTGATGATAATGCCCGTAGTACAGAAGGAAAGGGACTTGGCCTGAGGTCATGGAGTAAGTCAACAGTGCCACTACTGGCCTCCATATCAAGGTCTCCTGACTGCTTGCCCCGTCCTCTTTCTTTTTCACCTGGCTCCCTCCAGGCTCCAAAGAAAAGAAGAAAGAAAAAATGTGCCTACACTGGATTTCCAAATCCTGAGCTGCGCGTGTGCTCTATGACCTCAAGTGAACCCCTTACAGTCTCCTCACCATGAAAGTGAAGGTGTTGGGTTCAGTTATCTGTAGGGTCCCTATCAGGTCTGATATGCCATGATTTTATTGAACCTGCTTTGAATTTTGAAGAGAAAAACTATCATTTAACCAATATCTCCAACACTGACCAGACCCTCTCCATCTTACACGTATTTTCAACTCCACATACACAGTTAAAAGTTTATCCAAACAGTTTCTCTCGTTTGCTTGCTTGTTTTTAAAGGGCTTGAAAAGCAGACAGAACTACACAATCAAATGCCCATCCATTCCGGTCTGGGGAATGGGAACGGACAAAGACAATGGTAGAGACAACTGAATAAAGGCACTGGGTCTTCCTTTTCATTCCCTTGGGATTCAACAGCCAACAGATGACGCACAGAAGCTGCCTGATCCCGTCATCACTGCTGGGGAAAGCCCTCTCAGCAAAGATCGCCTCTCCTGCCTGTGTTCTGAAATGAGTACGAATGAGCCACCGAGCCAAATACCTGAACCAGCCAAATGCCGTCTTTGGTGTCTTCCACGAGCTCATAAAAGTGCATTTCACCACTGAAGTTGGTGCTAGAAGCAGACTCAGATGCTTCTTCTTCCTTGAGCGCAGAATAAAGCTCACCCTCCATCAGGTCTCCTAAAGAAGAAAAGAGTCAGAGAAACAAAACTTCCAAAAGCACAAAGGGTAGGTGTAAACAGTCACCTCTAAACCTACTCCTTCCACAATCTCTGAAATTAGCTTTACACAGCTAAACACTCTCTCACTTTGTTGTATAGACATATAAAAACGAAGTTTATGTTGACACTGCTGAATTTCTATCAAGAGCTAAAAATAAATCACAATAATCATAAGGGACAGTGTATCTTAAGCCACATATAACTTTTATAAATAGTCTGTTGTTAAATAACTCTTGTCAGTTTAAAGATTTGGTACCTGGGGTACAGGACATGCCCAAGGTCATGTGGCAAATGAGTAATGGAGCCTGAGGTGTGAGTAAGAGTCAAAAAATTGACCTCTCAGAACAAACACTGGAAATACAACTGTGAACTGTCACCATCCACTGACCTCTAAAGAACACTCAGCCAAAAGTACAAACTTTGATTTCCATTTAAGTGGGATTGGGGTAAAACCATCCTCAGCTAACATCAGCACAGCAGCTCTTAAGGTTGTAAAAGGTGGTCAGCAATGACCTAGTTGTCCAGTTTTTAGACTACTTTAATTTCATCTGACTAGGCCTAAAACTTATATTTCTAGAGCAAACCACTTCTATAAGACCCACCTCATTTCTGATATCAGTAGTACATATTTATTAATATGTGTATTATGAGCCTCTGACTTTGGTTACTTCCCTGCATTTTCTGTATTAGAAATAAAACCCGACATAAACTATGCTTTAAAATAAAGGATACAATTAATCTTTAAAGGAAAAAAGTGAACTTCTGTTGTAGAGAGAGAGAATATGAGTTTTTCCTGCAATGGCTCATGTATGGGTTTAATAACACGTCACCTTAAATCGTAACTAATAAATTCTCTGGAAGAGTTAATATTTATATCTAACATATTACATAGCAGTAGGGGAGTGCTGGAGGAAATAATTAGCCTTGCAAATGCAAAGCAGACAACAGCGGAAACAAACAGAAGAGGCATAGGTTTCAACAGTTAGATACAGAAACCCAGCCTACCATTCACCACAGCACATTCTCAGTCCAGGAAGGAAAATTTAAAAGCAAATATACATTTCTTTGTGTGCATATATGTATATGGAGGGGAGGGAGAGAAGGCAGGAAGGAACTGGGAGGAAACCTTTTAAACAAATACAGTAATCTCCTAGTACAGAAAACAAATATCTTTCTGGGCCCTTAAAAATGTACATTTCAGAATTCAGCAGAAAAAAGTTAAGATTATTTTTCCCATTGACATTCTGTCAAAACTGTATACTTCAGCCAGGCAATTGTCTGAAAGAGGGACAAATCAGGTCCATGCCTGTTACATTTGGTTTCACTCTCTGGTGTTTTAATGCATTAACCTATGGCTGTCAGTGGCAAGGACTCACAATGCAGGGAAAAATGGAAATCCAAACCAAGATAAGAAAGGGTGGTTGGGGGAAAACATTCTCCCAAAGCTACTTTTCAAAAAAAGGAGGGACTCCTTAACTTTAACCTATCCTTCCCTGGACTTTTTAGAGCTTAAAGTACAGACCTGGCTCTTTGTACAGAGTTCTCCTGTATTAAAAAACCTCTCACTGCAGAAGCACGCTCCTCCCTGTAAATTTCAAGGCTGGGGCCTAACTAAACATCTTCACCATCTCAGTGATTGACCAAGGTAAACAAGGCCAAGCCTCCTTGACATTATACACACAGTATACGCATGTGTATAGTACACACATGAAACTCTTGAGAACATATAAATTTCATATACACGTGCATATATATTTCAATTCATAAATTGTGTGTATGTATATACATATACAGGTATATATGTAAATACATACACTCAATCTATACATTGAAATTTTAAAATGACATATTCGCCATAAGCATGCTTTTGAATGGTCCAAAATTATTTTTTATTTGTCTATGACCAAAGTCAGAGTTGCTAGGAAATCTTCAAGCCAGGTTAAGAAGGCCTCCTGTTGAAAAGTGTTATTTACTTCCTGCAAACTTTTTAAAAACCCATACAAATCATCTCAGTCCCCCAACACAAAGTAAAAGAATCTCACATTTTCTTTTAGAGGACCTGGAAACCGAATACATTTACTTAGAACACTTCACAAGACTGCTAACTTAAAACCCTCCACACTCTTCATTCTATTTATGGAGAAAAAAGCCCCAGGACATAAAAAATTCACAGCTGCAGTGCCATCCATCACCATCACCATCAGGATGATGGCTAACCCTTACATCCATACCACCATGAGGTTTAACAGGCAGCTTGGCACAATGAGAAAGGGGTGCCCTCATGGCATGGCCTCAGACACACAGTGGTGTGACTCTGGGCAAGTCGTGTAACCTCAGGGTTCTAGGCAACTGTGGCTAGAAATAGCTGGCAGGTGGCCGCCTGCATAGGGGAAGGGGGTTTTCCATGCCAGTGAAATCAGAGGTGGAGTTCCCGTCCCTCTGGGGCTTGCAAAGCTGCTCTCGTGGTGAGAAGCTGGCCTCCAGGCAGCCCGAAGACCCGGCCTCGGGTCCTGCCTCGGACCTGCCGTTGCCGGGTCTCCGGACCTCTCAGTAGGTGCTCCAACTCGGCACGGTTGCTGGGAAGGGGCCTGGGTCAGCCGCGGCGGTGCGGTCCCAGGTCCGGTCCCAGGTCCGGTCCCAGGTCCGGTCCCGGCCCTGCCCCTCAGCCCCCGGGGAGTCCTCGGAGGCCGGCCGGCTCCTTACCCGACTTCTCCACCAGCTCTCGGACATCTTTCTTCTCGGGCAGCCCGGAGTAGCCCAAGCCCCGGCACTCCAGGATGGTCTTCAGCTTTTTGAAACTGAGCGCCACCGGGTCCACCAGCTGGGTGGCCAGGATGCCCGTCTCATACCAGACAATGGCCTCGAAGAACCTGGCCAGCACGAACAGGACCAGGAAATAGAGCAGCAAGAAGAAGAGCTTGAGCCACATCTTGGCGTCCCGGGCCGGCCGTCGGGGGAGGGGGCCCGGCCCAGGCTCAGCGGGGGCGGCGGAGGCGGAGGCGGAGGCGGAGCGCGCTGCGGAAGCCCAAGGACGCGGCCGGCATCCCCCGGTCACTCGGGAGCGCGGCGGGGACTCAGAGCGGGCCCGCCCGGGGGGGTGCGGACGAGGGCCGGGGGGGAGGAGGGGAGACCCCCATCAAGCAGCGGGGGGCCAAGGTCAGGCTGCGAGAGGGCACGGCTGGAAGGGGGGGGCGCCAGGGGGAGAAAAACAACACCGCACTGGGGAGGGGGCTGCAGGAGGGGGGCAAGCAGGGTGGGGGCGGAGGGGGGGGCAGGGGGGGGCCACGGGCGGGGAACCGGCGGGCCCCGGGCGGGGCAGGGGCGCCGCGGGATCCCGGGCTCGGTCACTCCCCGAGGCCTCCGGGGCCGGCCTGCAAGGGCTCCGAGGAGGCGCGGGCCGCGCTGCCGAGGAGGGCGAGGGCGGACCCCGCCGCTACCGCTGCTGCTGGCGCCGGGCCGCTAGGCCCCGGCGGGCACGGGCTCCGCGACCCCGCGGGCGGCCGGCGGCTCCAGGGCGCGCTCGCCCGGCCCCGGCCCCGGCCCCGGCCCCGGCCTGGCGGCTGCGCGGGAGAAGGCGAGCCGCTGGGGGCCCACGCCGCCGGGCCCCGGACTGCTCGTGGGGCGGGAGGGCGGGATCCCCGCGCGGCGTCGGGCCTACGCGCTCCCGGCCCGGGATTCCCCGCCGCCCCGCGACCCCGAGCGCCGAGCGCCGACCGCGGCTGCGGAGACCGAGACCGAGACCGAGACGCCGCCGCCGCCGCCTCTTGCCCAGCGGCGGATCAGCTGCGGCCGCGGCCGAGCCCGAGACATAACAACTGACGTCAGCGGCGGGGCGGGGCCTGGGAGCGGAGTCGGGAGCCCGAGAGCGCCCCTCACTCTCCCCGAGGGGTTCCCGCTGGGAATGCGGGCAGAAGGAAGAGAGGAAGGGAGGAGTGAGGAAGGCCTGTCACCGGCCGGTTCTTCCCAGAATTTTCATTTGTAGGAGACCCTCGCTCTACGTCTTCTTTCTTCTTCATCGCTTCCCCCACCCCTTCTCAGCGGCCTTTGAGGCGTCATTGTCCCTCTCGTTGAGTGTAAGCTGCCTGAGGGCAGGGGCTGCTTTTTTTTCTCCTTGTATTGGGTTCCTAGAGCTTAGCCCACTGCCTGGCACTTAGTAGGCGCTTAATAAATAAAGGCTTGTGCCTTGACTTGCAGTTAGACTATTTGCCAGAGGATTTGGGATCTGGACTACACAATGTTCTTTATGTGGGTGATATTGGTGCACACATTTCTACTGCACGGACTGTAACTGACATCTGTCAGTCTCTGCCTCCGGGTCTGTCTCTACGCACTGCTCTCTTCCACCCACCCAGCAAAGCCTGGGTCGGCTTGGGGAAAACTGCTGCCCAGCTTCTGTCCCAGGAATGGGGGGTGGGGGGGACTCTCTATTTTCTTCTGGTCTCTGTGGTTTGGACGGTCTCCGGAGCACCTAGGCAAAGGTCTCTGAGTGTTTATGTATTTAAGGCAAGTGCAAAGTCCTGTGTACCTGTCTTCGTTTGTCCACTATGGTACCTGACACACCCTTACTGATAGCACGTGTAAAATAAACATACTAGACTGACTCTGGCTTGGGGAGGCTGGAGAAGGCTTCCCACCAAGACCCCCTAACACTGTTCACGGTCAGGAACCAGAGTTCATTCTTGGGAGAGCCTGGACCGCGAAGAGATGACTAGGGCTCTTTTTTTCATACCCTGTGGCTCTCAACTCAGGACAGAGGGGAACATCGCTTAGAAAAAGCTAAAATTTCTCCAGAAGGGAGTAGAAGTAGGGCAGCTTGGTGGCTCAGTGGGTAGAGCAGAGTGCCTGCAGTCAGGAAGATGAGTTCAGACATTTGATAGCTGGATAACCCTGGCCAAGTCACCTAACCAACATTTGACTCAGTTTCCTCATCTGTAAAATGGGGATAATATCATCACCTACTTCCCAGGGTTGTGAGGATTAATTGTAAAGCCCTTAGCACAGTGCTTGGCACATAATAATTGCTATATAAACATTAGCTATTATTCTTAGAAAAATATTCGATGTTTTAGATAAAGTATCAGACAACTATTTCTTTCCTCCACTAGAAAAGAAATGCCTAAATACAAAAGGCTCAAAAGCATTTGCTGACAAACTTCAAACTTGAAGTCACAATCTTTAACTCCTTTTATACCCTCTTGGGGGGGAGGCTGTTTTTTTAAAACGTTGAAGCTCAGAACATTAGTTGTTGTTATTCAGTCCATTTGGGGTTTTCTTGGCAAAGATTCTGGAGTTGTTTGCCCTTGCCTTCTCTAACTGGTTTTACAGATGAGGAAACTGAGGCAAATGGGGTTAAGTGACTTGCCCAGGGTCACACAGCTAGTAAGTGTCTGAGGCTGGATTTGAACTCAGGCCTTCCTGACTCCTAGAGCTCTATTCATTCTGCCACCCAGCGGCCAAAGAGCATTTATTAGGTCTCTTTAATAGGACCGCCACATTTTCTAAATAATTCCCTCAGGGTCTAATACTTCTGGAAAGTCAGGTGAAGATTTGGGTTCATCCCCTTTCCGCAAGAAAAGGATTCTAGATGAGGGACCCAGGCTCTTCTGATTGCTCAGCTTTGTGATCTAAATGTCTATTTCAGGATCACTATTTGGTCATCTTATGTTCAGGGAAACACAAAGTATAAGAAATAGCCAGGACCCTAAGATTCTGATTCAGGCTCATGTAGACAAGTACATGCTTTTAATGCCATGTGTGAGCACCAGGCAGGGAGAAGAGCCCTTTGCCTCTCTATCGCAATCAGACCTTAATCTTATTGATTTGTGTCAATCCTCCACTGACCTTACATCAGATTTTTATCAAGGATCTTCAGTGTTAATTTTTTCCTACTCCATTTCTTTTTTTTTAAAAGATTTTATTTATGCAAAAACACATAATTGCAATAATTTTGTCATTTTGTCTAATTCACCTTCGATAACTTCTGAATCATATCTGGTTAATAGTTTTTCCCCTTTACTATGACCGTGAAAGATACCTTCTGTCTTCCTCTAATTTTTTTTTATGGAATTACTTTTTATATTTAGATTATGCATTTTGAATTTTTTGTAATATGTGGTACAAGATGTGAGTCTAAATCCATTTTCTGCCAAACTGTTATGTACTTTTCCTAGCTGTTTTTGTTAAATAAAGAATACTTTCTCACTGGTTTGTTTTCTTGAGTTCATCAATCACTAACCTGCTCTGTTTCCTTGCTTCTAAATCTTGCTTATCTTATCATTATTCCAGTGATCAACTTCTCTATTTTTTCTCCAGTACCAGACAATTTAAACAATTTTGGTTTGTGATCTAATTTGAAATTTGATAATGACAAAAAAATCTTCTTTCCTACTTTAAATTTTTTTAAATAATCTTTTCTTTCTTTCCTAATGACATATAAAGACAATTTTTAATATTCATTTAAAAAATTTTGTGTTCCACGTTCTCTCCCTCCCTCCCCAGGGCCTCTCCACCCTTCCTGAGATGATAAGGTTATATATAACATAGGTTGATATAGGTTATATATGTACAATCCTGCAAAACAAATTTCCATATTAATCATGTTGTGGAAGAAGACACAGACAAAAAAAAAACCACTAAAAAAATAAAGTGAGAAATAATATGCTTTGATCTGCATTCAGACTCCAGTTCTTTCTCTGGAGTCAGATAGCATTTTTCATGATGAGTCCTTTGGAATTGTCTTGGATCATTGCTGAGAATAGCTAAGTCATTCACAATTAATCATTCTTCTGATATTGTTACTGAGTGTAATGTTCTGGTTCTGCTCACTTCACTTTGCATCAGTTTGTGTAAGTTTTTCCAAATCTTTCTGAAATCATCCTGCTCTAGTAATTTTTCATAGCACAGTAATATTCCATCACAATCATATACCACAACTTCTTCAGCTTTTCTCCAACTGATGGGCTTCCCCTCAATTTCTGTTTCTTTGCCACCACAAAAAGAGCTGCTTTAAACATTTTTGTATATATATAGATCCTTTTCCTTTTGCTTTTTTTTTAATCTCTTTGTGATATAGACCTAGTAGTGATATCACTGGGGTACAGCCCTTTGGGCATAGTTCCAAATTGTTCTCCAGAATAGTTGGATCAGTTCACAGTTCCATCAACAATGCATTAATGTCCCAATTTTCCCACATCCCCTCCAGTATTTGTCATTTTTCTTTTCTGTCATATTAGTCAATCCGAGAGGTTTGAGGTGAGAGTTGTTTTAATTTGCATTTCTCCAATCAATAGTGATTTAGAACATTTTTTATATGACTATAGATAAATTTAATTTCTTCTGAAAACTGCCTGTCCTATCCTTTGACCACACCCCAAATGTTCATATGGACTCTTCATGCCCAACCTGTGGTAGAGCCTTCTGAACTCAGATTGATCTGAACAACCATAGCTGTACACACTGTACCTTGACCCCAACATGGTGACATCATTTTGGTCCTCTTTGAGAACAAAGGACAACAATCAACCATCAACTGAGGAATGACTCATACGTATCCTTATAGATTTGACTCAGTTCTTTATATATTTGAGAAATGAGGCCTTTATCTGAGAAACTTGCTATAAAAATTTTCCCCCAGTTTTCTGCTTTGTTTCTAATCTTGGCTGCATTGGTTTTGTTTGTGCAAAACCTTTTTAATTTAATGTAACCAAGATTATCTATTTTACTTCCCATAATGCTCTCTCTCTCTTGTTTTCTCACAAATTCTTCCCTTATCCATAGATCTGCCAGGTGAACTGGACTGCAAGCTTTAATGTCATTGGTCCATTTAGGAACATCTGTACCTCACAAAGCTGCTTCACTGCTAATGGCTTCCCTTCTAGTGTCTAGCTGGGCAAATCCTCCTCATTTCTATTCTCCGGCCAGGGAAACACTGACAGCTTTTTTTTTTTTTTTTTTTAGCTTACAATCAGCCTTAAAAGGACATTTGGAGGGGCAGCTAGGTGGTGCAGTGAACGGAGCTTTGGCATTGGAGTCAGAAGGACCCGAATTCAAATCTGACCTCAGACACTTGACACTTGCTAGCTTTATGACCCTGAGCAAGTCACTTAACCCTATTGCCTCACACACACACAAAAACAAACAAACAAACAAAAAAAAAACAATGTTGGACAGGCATGACACCATTCACCAGACCAGCAGTCTCCTCTCAGCCAGAGAAGAGCGAGGCTCATCAGTCTGGCTTTTTCTGGGCAATACAGAAAAGCCTACAAAACAACTTGCCTTTCTTTTTCCACCCTGAGAGGGCAACAGAAAGCAATGAGCAATTCTGAAAGATTTTACTCTCTTAAAGTGTTTGTGGTGGTGATAAGGAAAAAACAGGAAGGGAGTGAGCATTAATTAAGTACCTACTATGTACTAGGCATATCTAAAACTTCCTTTCAGACATCTTGAACCAGATGTCCAGTAGATATCTTAAACTCAATATGTCCAAAACAGAACTCGTTATCTTTCCTCCTAAACTCTGCCCCCTGCTCCACCTTCCCTATGACTGTAGAAGACATCACCATCCTCCCAGTCCCACAGGCTTGAAGTCTAGAAGTCATCCTGGACCCCTTACCATCTCCTCCTCCTCTTTCTCCCCTGTACCCCCCCCCCCCCCAAGCCGGTATCCAATCTGTCATCTCTGCAGCATCTCTCCTCTATGTTCCCTTCTCTCCTCTGCCACTGCCCCCTCCCTGGTGTAGACCCTTATCACATCACATCTGGAGTATTGCAATAGCTGCTGGCAGGTCTACCTATCTTAAATCCTGCACTCAGCTGTCAAATGATCTTAAAACACAGGTTGGACCACGTCACGCCCCAACTCAATGAACTCCAGCGGCTACCTATCACCTCCAGGGTCAAATACAAAATTCTCTGTTATTCATAACCTGTCCCTTCCTACCTTTCCAATCTTACTCCCTGACATGTATTTTTGTCGAGGGACCCTGGCCTCCTGCCAGTTCATGAATGAGACACT